GTTACGAATAAATTAAACATGGATAGGAATAAATAAGTACTGGAATTGGCACATATGAATCTAACTCAGACATACAATTAACCGCCTTTCCCACAGAGCCATCCAGAGTCCGAAAAGGAACATAACAAGTCCATGCCCCGCATCGCCAAACATAACCGCGAAAAGAAAGGGAAAAGTGATCAAGGTGAAGAGCGCCGGATTCACCTCCCTATATGTTGCCACTCCATAAGCATCAACAATCCCCTGAAATGCCTCCGTGAACTTATCTGTCCTGTGGAACGTCGGGGGTGGATCTTTTGTTGGCATTGCATTAAGAATGGGTTGAATGTTGCTGCTCGACTTTTGCATGCCCCGGCACAAGGCCAAATTAATTTGATCAAGATCATTGACCGCACACCAACACTCCCCAATCATGCATTTTGTGGTGACGTCAAGGTCGAAGAGGTTGAGAGTATGATAAATGGCCTTCATTTTGCGCACCCGAATAAACCAATTGTTGAGATTCTTTGCCGCAGCTTCAAGAATCCTCTGACGATGTTGCTGAGTTTGAGTGAGAACGGTTTCCAAATCATCGATCTTCTGAACTACGTCAATAAGCATTGTCCGACGATCGGCTGCAGACTCGGGGCAGGGGTACACTGTAGCATGGAATCTAAAAATAAACATTTCTACCAGTGGTGGAAAACTACTCCCACTTTAATAGCACGAAAGAGACCCTCAAAAATGAGCAAAGATCTCATGCGGTAACTGAAATTACCCTTCACATATTTTGGTCACTCGTGTTTTGAGCTGATCACCTTGAAAGAATACGATGAATACGGTTTTATAAACCTTTTCACCCTAAAAAATAAGGAAACTTGGAAAAATCAAAGACAAGTTGTACAAGATCAACTTCGGAAAAGTGGTAAAGTACCGTTAGTAGGTCCTCTATGGGCAATTCGATTTCGGCCTGTTTAAGAAAGACATTACCGGTGCAGGCACGCCACAGCATCCGTTCAAAAGCAGATAATTTTTCCCGCAGAATGACACCAGCAACGGAACTTGAGACAGAAAACAAGATGAAATGAAAGTGCTAGGCTCATGAGAACCGGAAATTGAAAATTCGACGACATTTTGCGGCAGCAAAGCAGAGAAAATAACAAGATGTTAGCAAATTAACGGACCTATTTGATTAAATGGTAAAAATAAATAGGCTTGCTGGTGCTTAAGAACTGCATTACAGACATTGCCGAGTGGACACACAACATTAACCTTTTGAAAGTTATACGGCACCATATTGAACGTTTCAGAACAAAAATGCACGGACTTTAATTCACACCCATAAGATGAAAGTCGAATCTGCATACAATCCCCAGGCCTATTTTGAAACACAATGGTATCAGAAGGCTAACCAGGGATATGCAACACAACAACAGCGATGTACTCGGGACAGCCATGCATAAAATAGCAAACCCTAAGTGCATTTCAGCGCCACTGTATATGTTCTGACCACCTTCTTCACCAAGAAGGCCTAAGTTCTCATCAGTGGTAAAAGTTGACGCTTGATGGGCCTAGAAAATGCACCCACTCATAAGCATAACTCCACAAAAAGGAAGTCTTAGTGCCCTGTTGAAATAAACGCGATCGATTTAATTACCTCATCGAAAAATATTTGCGTCTTCCGCAAAAGATGTTTCATTTCTTGAAGTTCAAAGTAAGTTTGACGCAAATTTCCAATGCTTGCATTTACCTCCTTTGTCTCATTCTCCAATTTTTCAAATGTAGTTTCCATATCAATCATTTCTCTTGGCGCAGGCGCTTCAGGGATTTCCGGACTGTCATACAGTTTCAGTTTATTTAGTTGTATCTCGTTCAGCATATACCCTAAAGATTTCCATCAATCAAGTACAAAGAATACTAAGTTTTCGCTCCATTTCGTCGCACCTGCGAACCTCATTAACAAATTTTCGCTGGAATGCACTTCTTTCGGAGTTGTTCTACAAAAGAATTATCATCAATTCTCATACATCACGGAACTGCACGACGCCAAGTTCCCCAAGCTCCACAATACACATGTAGGCAGAGTCAATATGTAAGAACAGCTGAGACAGCTGCATTCGCTCACTTCTAAACATCGCACCCATTTCGCAACTTCCCAGTTCACGAAGGCCGCAATGGCCTACATTCTTTCAGTTCAATAAAATTTATCAATGTAAACAATATTTTGTTTATTTAGAGTAGTTGACTATCTACTCATAATTAGAAAACTGCAGAGAAATCTGCACAACAATCATTAACTGAAGTCCATGTTTTAAATATGATTTCTTCGAAAATTCGAGCATAGTTTACTTGTTTCTCCTGCCATGCATAGTACCGAATTCTCAAAATTCAAGCTCTTATACTTGTTCATTTCTTAATACGCCAAGTTATATTTGTGAAAGGTTAAGGTTTGTGCCAAATACACGCGCAATCTCTCAAGACTTCTTATTTGGTTAAAGGGCATTGGATAGAGCTAAATACTTATGCAGCTCTTTGATTATTTTCAGCCACCTGATGGTTGGCAGTTACTGGGCATTCGTTTTGCTCTTGTGTGCTTTGACTGGCCTTCGGGATAAGCCAAGGCCCTATCCTCTCTTCTCTTACAATGCATACATTCTGCCCAATGCAATGCTTTCTACCTAGTAGAAAGTCTTGTGCTGGTACAGACTGGACTTTGGCGCGACCAGTGACCGTCAGTCACACGAGCAATCTAATAAATAATATATTACAGCATCTTTGTGATATGGTATGTCATTGAGGTCATCACACATGATGACACTGCAAACAAGTTGCAATTTTCCTTCGTCCGAGCCGGAGGTTAAACTGTAATGCTTTGTTTATGTGACTACCTGACGTTAGGCGGTCACTTTAGAATTTATCTGGCCCTGTACATGTGGGCTGGCCTTTGGGCCACGCTCAGGTCCCATTTGCCCTGTCGTCTTCAAAATACATGTATTCAACCTCACTTATGCCTTCTTCCACCCTATGGGGAGCCTCGGGACGCTACATAAACAATAAACGAACGGATTAACCCCTTTTTTGTATAAGTTATAAAGGTTCTTTAGATTGCCTTGAAGGCAATGGATAGTACAACGTACAATCGCTTCCATCTGATGGCAGAAGGTAGGGACCACGGTTAAATACTCGCTCTCAGACAAATAATGTAGAAACAAGACAAAGGCTAAGTGGTAAAAGCGGGTTGGCTACCATAGTGACCGCCTTTCGTAAGGGTGGTCAAACAAACAAGTTGTTACTGCAATGTCCTAGGACTTCTAACCACGTAAAGGAATGTATTAAGTAGGGTTCACTTGTGCATTCAGGGAGAAGAGAATGGGTCTGACTCTGACATTGGTTTAGCCCAAAGGCCGGCCGACGCGGCCATGAACAAGGGAATACAAAAGTTACCGCCAGTCATACAAGCCGTCAAATGAACAAGCTCTTACATTTATTGATGGTATAGAGCTTAAGCAAAACACGCTTTTTTCAACATACTATAGGGACAATAAATGTTGGCGTGGTCTTTTCGTAACTTCACTGAACCATGGTAATGTAACCACCCTTGCGGAACCAATCGTCATACAGCAAATCATAAATATTTTGTGGCTGTCTTATTTGACTTTACGAAATTTTCAGCCCTAAATTGGTGGTAATCTAATTCCAAATCCATGCATATGTGTTTATTTCAACTCCTGCCTACCAATTTTTGTGACCACACATGCTTGTAGTACGTTTCAAACAGGGTTGATCACTTCAACTTAGTTTGAACCCCCGTGATTGGCAAAATCTAGCTTCTTTATGACTTATACAAAATGACGTCACACCTAGAGGCCATAATAATAATAATAATAATCAGGACAGTTGAGTTCATTGGGTCCTCACCAAGCTAAAGATAAAC